CACGAAGCCATGGCGAGCCCTAGCTGGTTTTGCTCAGTGGATAGAGCATCGGCCTGTGACTGAAGGGTCTCAGGTTCGATTCAAAAAAAAAAAAAGAAGCAGCCATGGCGACAGGACACAAGAGGCCGGAGACCATCAGCTGGTTTGCGGGCCTCGGTCCTGTAACAGCCGGCCTCGGCCAGAGACCGCCCCGCCCTGCCAGGGACTTCAATGGGCTCTTCTGGAATTCTCCCAGCAGAAACCTGAGGCCAGGTGGGGAGGAAGCCCTGCCCTCAGAGGACTGTTGCCAGGGTCACAGCCACTCTCAGCTGCTCAGCCACTGGCTGGGATTCCAGCCTTCTGGGCAGCAGGCCTGGTGGCCTGCGGGTGTGGCTGGGCCACAGCTGGCCATGGGCATTTCAAAGCCAGCCTTCCTCTGAAGCTGTGGGGTGTGTGTGTGTGGTGGGGGGAGGGCGGAAAGGAGGGGCATCTAGGCCTTGGTGCCAGCGGGTCCCAGGAATTCAGGGCTTCCTGGGTGGGCTACGGGGTCCATGGAGGCCCCTAGATGGTGAGTGAAGATGTACGAGGGTCAGGATGGAGACAGCCCCTTTTCTGAGTCCAAATCCTCGCTAACGGCTTATTGAAGTGTGAATTGACTTTGTCCCCTCTCCTCATTGAGGCTTGTGACGCCCAATCTTAGAGCAACAGGCTGACTCACAGTGGCCTCGGCATCTCTGGGTTTCACCCTCACCGCTGGCCTCTCTGTCCCGAGGACCTGCTGCCTTCTTCGCTGCCTCAGGGCCGTGGCACCAGCTGGAGCCAGCCTCTGCCACGGCCTGCTCTCCCCTTCCTTCAGGTCTCAGCTCAGACACGACGCCACCTCCGCAGAGAGGCCGCTGGCCTGCCCTCTCCCCCCCAAATATCCCCCAGCGGGTCCTGAGCCCTCGGAAGATGGGACCTTATCTGCCTTAGCCCTGTAGGAACGCTGGGTCTCGCCCAGGGCCTGCACATAGTAGGTACTCAGAAAACAGGAGAGTTATTCACCTTCCAGATCACCCTCTCTGGGTTGGATGGAGGAGTGATTAGGGTTAAACCTCACAATTGCCCGTTATCGGACACTTTCTAGCTCCCGGGCCCTGCACATGTGACCCCGTCAAATGTCTCAGAGAGAGACCAGGGTCCCTGCTCGTGGATGGAGTGCTGACTTCAGTGGAATTCTGAATGCCAACCAGGGCTGGCGACAGTGACACACGGCGCCTCTTGTAGATTGTCAGCTGGGCAGGTGGACTGGCCAAGCCCCTGATTTAATAGATGAGAAAACTGAGGCCCGGAGCGGAGAAGGGGCTCGCCCGGTCACATGGCAGAGCAGGGCAGAGAGAGGAGCAGCAGCCGACTGCATGGCCTTTCCTGGGTGCACCAGCTGATGTGCTGACATGGGCCCCACTATATCTTTTTAAAAATATATATATATCTCTATTGATTTCAGAAAGGAAGGGAGAGGGAGAGAGAGAGAGAAACATCAATGGTGAGAGAGAATCATTGATCGGCTGCCTCCTGCACGCCCCCTACTGGGGATGGAGCCCACAACCTGAGCATGTGCCCCTGACCGCAATTGAACCCGGGACCCTTCAGTCCGCAGCGGACGCTCGATCAGCCAGGGCCCGTATCTTTAAGAACAGGAGTAAGAGAGCATGTGATGGTTTTACCACACTGGGGCTGGGTTCCCCTTCAGGAGCCCCTGGCAGGCCATAACATCATAATAAATAGAAATATTAATAAAAGCCAATTATCGAACATCTTCTATATGTCAGGCATTTTATACACATTATTTTATGTAATCCTGCAAAGTAGAGGTGGCCCTGGCCCATTTTACAGGTGTGGAAACTGAGGCTCAGAGTGGTCCATTGACCTGCCTGGATCACACAGCTACAAAGTTCTAGAACCTGCACTTTAACCTAAAAATTGTTAGGTGGTGCTGGTGGTGGCAGCAGTGCCAGTGGTAGCAATAGTCTAGTCATAGTCATAGTCACAGGCTCAGTCACAGTCACAGTCATAGTCATAGTCGAAGTCACAATCACAGGCTCAGTCATTAATCCTAACAGTAAAACAGGACACACCTGTGGTCCCACAGCGGCCGGCCTGAAGTCAGAGCTGCAGACACCCTTTGAGAAGCTCCAGGTTCCCCAGCAGTGCTCAGTGGCCCTCCCTTGGCCCTCGGGAAAGCACGAGAACACAGTAGGGTGGGTAACCCCCTCCCCCAGCACACACACCTTTTAGGCGCGGGCAGAGGCTGGGAGGGGCTGCCTCCCCCGCGCGGTGCCTTCCGCGCCACCTGCTGGACCCTGCAGAAGCTGCAGGCGGTCAGCTTACAGGCGCAGGGCAATGGGATTGGCAGCCCCGAAATAGCGCGGGGTGAACAAGGGGACTCATCAATCAACTCACAAATGCAAGGATGTGTTCCCTCTGTTCTCCTCGGCCCCAGCGCCTGAAACGATGGCTACTGGGTCAACCCTGAACGACTACGCAGCCTGGCGCCCTGCCCAGGCAGTGTCACTGTCCCCTGGCAGGAAGTGGGCATGCTGGGGAGATGTGGAGCCCCACAGTCCCGGCGGGGCAGCCGGCCAGGTCCTCTCATCCCACCCCTCATCCTCTGCTGATAAATGGGGCTCCCACATCTGGGGCGGCTGTGAGATGAGGGTGGTGGCTGGTGGAGGGCCTGGTATACAGCTGGCGCTCAGGGTGTGCTCCCTCCTCCCTGCCCCAAGCAGAGATCAGTCTCGCTTTGTCAGGGGAAAACTTGTCTCTGCGGGCCCACCGTGCGCCTGAGGTCTCCTGGCCCAGAGCTGGGGCGGGGGGCGTGGCCTTAGGTCCCCCGTCAAGCCCAGCCCCCCCTCCCCTGTAGTGTCACACCAGTGCTGATTGGGAATGCACGCAGGCAGCCTGACCCTGGCCCTGCCCACAGACTGGTGGTGACTTGGACACTGTAATGGACAAATTAGCATATTACCTCTTTTTTATATAGATTTTTTGTAGACTTTCATTGATTTCAGAGAGGAAGGGATGGGTGGAGAGAGAGAGAGAGAACCATCGATGGGCTGCCTTCTACAAGCCCCCCACCAAGGATCAAGCCCACAACCCGGGCATGTGCCCTGACCCAGAATGGAACTGTGGCTTCCTGGTTCATGGGTCACTGCTCAACCACTGAGCCACACCGGTCGGTCCAGAGTTCTTTTAATTAGTTGACAGAATTTTATATTTCTAGGAAACCCTAAGGGGGAAAAAACCTATAGAGCAGCCCTAGCCGGTTTGGCTCAGTAGATAGAGCATCAGCCTGTGGACTGAAGGGTTGCAGGTTCAATCCCGGCCAAGGGCACATGTCCAGGTTGAGGGCTCGATCCCCAGTGGAGGGCGTGCAGGAGGCAGCCGATCAATGATTCTCTCATCATTGATGTTTCTATCTCTCTCTCCCTCTCCCTTCCTCTCTGAAATCAATAAAAATATATATTTTTAAAAAACACAGCTAAAGAGCAGTTGGACTTAGAAAGATGAGTATTCCTACCACTAGCAATATTAGAAGGCATAATTACACCAGAGACAGTACAAACAGTTCAAATGTCTATCCCTTGGTCATAACAGAGGGAGCCTTCCAAACTGGGTGTTTGATTGAATTGTGCACAAGACCCTTGAAGGTGTTCCATAATTTTCAAGGTTAAATTCAAATCCCTTGGTAGCATATCACACACGCGCACGCACACACACACACACACACGCACACACACACACACACACACACACACACGCGCGCACACACACACACAGCTCTAGGTCAAGCCACCAGGTCTTTGCCTTTGCCTTGAAGTGCCCCTGCCCTTTCTCCTCCCCCGGCCGGGCTCCCTAGCCCCTTCCATCAAGGCCCTGACCCCCTAAGATGCATTCCAGGGTGTGGCCCCTCAGCAGTGTCCCCAGGGTCCCTCCAGGCACTGACCGCTCTATAGCGTCACTGGTGACTCACTGGGCCATCTTGCCCACTAGACTCTTAGCTCCGTAGGAGCAGGAAGTAAGTAAAACAAATATGCCCCCCACATTTAACCCTAGTGTCAGTAAAAAGCATCGACCCATAATAAAGTGCAAATAGCAATGGATCACAGGGCTGGGGGTGCAACAGGGATTGGTGGGGATGGAGGCAAAGTGGAGACTACATCCGCCCACGCATCCTGTCCAGCCAGGACAAACACTAGGAGACAGGTCCATGGTTGGTCCCCAGTTGTAACCTCTAACCCAGGAAGAAGATCAGGAACTCAAACAGCACAAAGATGTGATTCCAAAATAGAGATTTATTTATTAAGAATTATTTAGTGTTTGCATAAAAATCACCAATTGTTCCTCATTGGGTTTTTAACACACACGAATTCTTTGGGGTCCCTCTATTCACCCCAACACTTTCAAGATACAGTCTTGTGAGTGCCAGGAGGGAGTTAAGGCAGCGAGGTGTTCCTCGGGTCTCGGCATCGGGAGGCTCGCGGCCTCCCCTCTGGGTGAACACACAGGATGGGTAGTTTCTCAGGTGGGGCAGGCTGTCCCTGAAGGAAACGTTTATGCAGAAGACGCCAGCTCAGTTGTCTGGGTCCGTTCCTCATACCTGACAGCTTCAAAATACAGTGCCCTTGGTCAAGGTCATCAAAGGCTTGCTGGTTGTTTTCAACTATAAAAAACTGTCGGGA